CCCCCCCGGCAACTTACGCTGGCCGACTTTCAAGACAACTTTCATGCCTTTCGACAGGCAGGCACCCCCCTTTATGTTCTCTAGGCCTTCCTTGGTGCCGTCGGACGTCGCTGTGGGAGAGAATGGAGAGATCAGCCGCGGCCTCCTTACGGGGGCAGACCCTAAAGGTGGGAGCCGGAGGACCCTCAGGTACTTTTCCCCAGGCTGGGATCCCCCCCCCCACACAGAGGTGGAGAAAGATATGGGGGGAAGGGAAGTGTCAGAATTCTAGTCCTCCAAGGAGCAGCTTAAATTCTCTTAAGAACATAAGAGACGCTAATGTTGGATCAGGCCAAAGGCCCATCCAGTCCAACACTCTGTGTCACACAGTGGCCAGAAATACCAGGTGCCATCTGGAGGTCCACCAGTGGGGCCAGGACATTAGAAGCCCTCCCACTGTTGACCCCCACCCGCAAGCACCAAGAAGACAGAGCATCACTTGCCCCAGAGCCCCTATCTATACCTTGTGGCTAATAGGGGCCACTGATGGACCTCTGCTCCATATGCTTATCTAATTCCCTTTTGAAGCCGTCCATGCTTGTAGCCGCCACCACTTCCTGTGGCAGTGAATTCCAAGTGTTCATCACTCTTTGGGTGAAGAAGGACTTCCTTTTATCCGTTCTAACCCGACCGCTCAGCCATTTCATGGAGTGCCCACGAGTTCTTGTATTGTGAGAAAGGGAGAAAAGTACCTCTTTCTCTACCTGCTCTTTCCCATGCACAACCTTGTAAACCTCGATCATGTCACCCCTCAGTCGTCGTTTCTCCAAGCTAAAGAGCCCCAAGCGCCTTAACCTTTCCTCATAGGGAAAGCGTTCCAACCCTTTTATCATTCGAGGTGCCCTTTTCTGCACTTTTTCCAAAGCTTCATTGCTCCAGAAGAGCCAAAAGCAGAAAGCGGTATTAAGAGGACCGTGGGGATGAGGCTATGGGGCAGAGGGGAACTTGATCCCAGCGCTCAGACTCCTTCCAAGTCCCGTCACTCCTACCTTCTTTCCCCCCCCCCCAAAAAAACGCGTCGGGGTGGTGCCTAGAGATCCGCTGGAATTTACAACTCCAGACAACTGATATCAGTTCCCCTGGAGAAAGCGGCTGCTCTGGAGGGTGGACCCTAGAACATCACACCTGGCTGAGGTCCCTTCCAATGCTCCCTCTAAGCTGAGTTAGTGTGAGCTAGCTCACCGTTTTTTAGCCTCCGGCTCACACATTTTTGTCTTAGCTCAGGGAGGATAGGGCTCCGGAGCAAACTAACTGATGCAGTGGCCAAACTGCTCGCTCACAACTTCAATGCCAGTAACTCACAGAGTAGAAATTTTGCTCACAAGACTCCACAGCTAAGGGGCTCCCGTTGGTGGAGACTCGTGAGCAAAAATTCCACTTTGTGAGCTACTGGCATGAAAGCTGTGAGCGATCCATTTGGCTACTGCATAAAATCGGTTTGCTCTGGAGCCCTCCTTCCTGTGCTAAGACAAAAATGTGTGAGCGAGAGACTAAAAATCTGTCAGCTGGCTCACACCAACTCAGCTTAGAGGGAACACTGGACTCCCTTCCCTCCCCAAAATTTGCCTTCACCGGGCTCCACTGCCCCAAATCTCCAGGGATTTCCCAATCCAGAGCTGGCAACAGCCCCTATGAGCCCCACCCTACTGCCGCAAGACGCCCTGCAGGGCTGTGTAATATTTAAACAAGACAAATGTTTGCACAGTGGAAGTTCCCTTCTTGGTCCTATAACATGCCAGAAGCCGCCGAGACGAGCGAGGCGTCATAACACCCCCTGGCTCTGCCAAACCTCGACGGAGAGCTGCCGAGAGAGAGTGCAGGGCTCCTGCCAACAGCCACCCTCCCGCCTGGCAGTGCCCAAGCCCTGGCACGGAGCTGCCAAACACACCACGCGGACCTGCCCAGAAGCAGCTCCCCTGCCTGCAACTGTAGCCCCCGCAAAGAGCTGAAACGCAGGGGGGGGGCCTCTGGAAGCCAAGCCAGGAGCAGAGGAAAGGGCCGGACAAGGAAGGGGGTGCTCAGGCAGTGCCCAAATGCCCTGCATCTGCTCAGCAGGAGACCAGAGAGCTGGAAAGCCCTCAGTTCAAATCTCATGGGGCCACAAACACAGCAGGTAGCCTCTGGCACAGGTCTTCCCTCTTGGCATCTGCAGGACAATGGCGCCCCAGGACATCTGAACTTGGGGCAGAGAAAGAAGAGGAAGCCAAGGTTGGGAAAGGCAGAGAGGTGTCCTAGAGGGGCGAAAGGCCTGGCACTGAGGATCACAGTGGGCAGAGCGCCCACGTGGCAGCTCCTGGGCTCAGTCCCGGGGGAAAGGGACTCTGTTGGCAGGCCTTGGGAATGACCGTTCCCAGCCGAAGACCCGGATGAGCTGGCAGGGACACAGGCAGGTGGGTTTTTAGCCGCTCAAGCCTAGCCGGAGGCCCGGTGGGTCAGGGAGCAGCAGAGTCCGCGGGACACGCTCTGCCGAACCCAGTCCGGACCGCAACTCGAATTGCAGGCAGAGGCTGAGCAGAAGAGAGAGAAATGGGATGGGCTGTGCAAAGGGAGAGCAATCGACATGCCTACAAACACAGTCCAAGAAACAAACACCCAGTGCCCGGTAGATACACACACAAAAGACCCATCTCCAGAAAGCCAGTCTGGTGTAGTGGTGAAGTGCGCGGACTCTAATCTGGGAGAACCAGCTTTGATTCCCCACTCCTCCACTTGCAGCTGCTGGATGACCTTGGGCAAGCCATAGTTCTGTCAGAGCTGTTCTCTCAAGGGCAGTTCTCTCAGAGCTCTCTCAGCCCTGCCTCCCTCACAGGGTGTCTGTTGCGAGGAGGGGAAGGGAAAGGAGTTTGTCAGCCGCTCTGAGACTGAGTGAAGGGCAGGGTATAAATACAATCTCTTCTTCATCTTTCATATAGAGACATGATCATATAGGCTGGGGCTGCCAACGTCCAGGTGGGGCCTGGAGATTTCCCGGAGTGACATCGACAGAGCTCGGTTCCCGTGGAGGAAATGACTGGTTCGGCGGGGGGATTCTACAATGTCATCTTCCGCTGAGGTTCCCTGCCCTTCCCCAGGTTCTGCTCCCAAATTTCCAGGGATTTCCCAACCCAGAGTTAAGAACCGTAACATAGATCCTGCCAGTGTTTGGGCTCCTGCTCTGTGGAACAGCATAATACAACATGAGAATCAAAATCCCTTCGATTTTTCAGTAAAATGGGCTTTACATGGGGGGGGGAATGCTCAATTGGGGTCATTATACGTGGGTAAAAAGGGCAAAAAAGCCCACCCCCATCCTATAGACACCAGAAGACACCTTCTCCCAGGCTGTCTGTAGGTGGCTGGGACGCTCCCTCTAAGCAGTGGAGTCTTGTGAGCAAAAATTCTACTCTCTGAGCTACCAGCATTAAAGCCGTGAGCAAGCAATTTGGCCGCTGCATAAATTAGTTTGCTCTGGAGCCCTCCTTCCTGAGCGAAGCCACAAATGCGTGAGCCGGAGGCTAAAAAACTGTGATCCAGCTCACACTAACTCAGCTTAGCGGGAACACTGGCTGGGATGCTTTGGGACTTTGGGGCGGAAGCAAATCCCGCCCTGCTACCTCCCCTGGCTCTGAGAGAGCTTATCCAAAGCCGGCGGGCTCTTGCCTACAGGAGCCTCCTGGCCACGCTGGGGTCTTTGCGGACCCAATACCACCACACAGCGGCCGGTCAACCTCCCTTTCTGGCTTTTGCTTAGCGGCCCAGCCGGTGTCTCAGCTGACAACGCCAGCCAGGAGCTTCCGCCAGCGGCTTGTCACTTCTGTCTCCGCTCCTCCACCGCGCCCTTCACTTCACTTTCCCTTGTCTCATTCATTTTGCAAAAGCTGCCGTATACAAACACAAAACCCTGCATGATTGATCCACGTTCACTTGAGAAAGAATCCCTTCCAGCGCTTGCTTGCGCTTGTCCTGAAGGCTGGGAAAGAGTCCCAGCAACCTCGCACAATCCTGAGCGGTGCCAAAGGATACAAGAGCTGAGCAGCTAGGATTCATTCCAGAGGGACAGGGCCGCCTGGAGATCAAATGGGCCCAGGCATTAAAAAGGGCTTCCAAAGGAAGGACCAGGGGGAGAAAAACAGCTTGCATAAATATTAGGGGATAACGTAGTTCTAATAATGTTACAGGACTATGTGTGTTTGTTAAGTGACAACACGTAGCTTCCGACTCACAGCAACCAGTGTTCCCTCTAAGCTGAGTTGGTGTGACCTTGGGTCAGTCACAAGTTCTTTCAGAGCTGATTTTTAGCCTCCAGCTCACACATTTTTGTCTTAGCTCGGGAAGGAGGGCTCCAGAGCAAGCTAATTTATGCAGGAGCCAAATGGCTCACTCACAACTTTAATGCCAGCAGCTCACAAGGTAGAATTTTTGCTCACAAGACTCTACAGCTTAGAGGGAGCATTGGCTGGCAACCCTGTGAATTAAGGACCTCCAGTTTGGTGTCGTGGTTAAGTGTGCGGACTCTAATCTGGGAGAACTGGGTTTGATTCCCCACTCCTCCACTTGCACCTGCTGATGTGACCTTGGGTCGGTCACAAGCTCTGGCACAGCTGTTCCTGAAAGAGCAGTTTGTGTCAGAGTTCTCTCAGCCCCACCCACCTCACAGGGTGCCTGTTGTGGGGAGGGGGAAGGGAAAAGGAGTTTGTAAGCCGCTCTGAGACTCCCAAGTGAAGGGCGGGGTATAAATCCAATCTCTTCTTCTTCTTCTTCTTCTTTTGCAGGTCTTGCAAATGGAGGTCCCTCTCAGTTTGCGCATGCGCATAACTGTTCATCCATGGAATTGAAAAACTTTATCCTCACACATGTGCAGAGCTACCAGGGCAAATCACGGATTTCGCTTGACAGTTCCGCAGAGCACCATGATTTCACCGCTTTGACAGAAGACTTCCCTTTAAACTTTTTGCCCGAAACTGGCCTCTTTGGGATCCCAAACTCAAAACTAGTGACTGTTTAAATGTTGGTTTTAAGCACGCGGGAGCGGAGCTTCGCTTATGTGCATACCGCCGACGCACAAAAAAAATGGTGGCCGAAAAGCGGAAGC